GCTGCAGCTATATCAGTGGCGAGGAAAAATGCCGTTAATCAAACAACAGCTTATCAATATGTGAAGAAAAGTATCTTCATTACATCTTTAAATTATATAATCGAATCAACAGCTGCTTGCAAAACCCCAGTTATGTCACAATAGACTTACGACTGTCGGTACTGGCCCAACGAGCAGTTCAGGATATATCTAATAGCATTAGCAGCATGGCCCATTTGATGCCAACCAATGGTAATGTGTCGCTTTTCCACTACTGCGACTAGACTGCAGTTTGTTTCTGTTGCCATAATTCTACAAATAAATAAATTTTACACCGAAAAAAGAACGCACCAAAGACCAAAGAGCTAGACATGCAGTAATTAGAGCTGCTGATTTTCGATGAGAAGTATACTGGAGATTGCGGAGGTAACGACACAGCAGCAGTAGCTGAGTTACATGTCTAGCTATTATAATACGGATATTATAACACAGACGAGAAAGGAGCTTTGTACTTCAAAGAGACCGATTCTATCCCAGTGGAAACAACGTGCCACCAGTACACCTCATCCGAGACTGGCAAACCAAGCCCAGCACAAAGCCTTGTTTTAATTTAGTCTCAATAACAGACTGTTCTTTACAAAGAACTGCAAAGAACTAACCTTTTCGCCTGTTCATAATTAATTTCAATGCATTGGTTTTTTCCAATTCTCCCATAATTTGACATTCTCTGTTTAACTTTTATTTGCCTCACACTCGACTGACCATCTAAAGAAGTCTCTCCTACGGAACCGTTACTCCGTAACCTCATCCTCTTCGTGCCAGCTTCCGCTGTTGGCTCACACGTTCTTTTCCGCTTTCCCATTGAACTAAAATTGAAAGAATTAGCGATGCGCACTACGGTTGTCTGTGCGATCACGAGTTTTTGCGCAATTTCATAGTAGCAATAAGAACGCCAACAGGAAAAAAGTTCAATGCTTGCAGTTTGCGTACTCAATGTTGTTGTTGGTCTTTTTCCCACGTTCAGAGGTAAGAGCCGCCTATCAAATCACTGGAATTGGACCACACGAAATTTTAGCCTTCTAGCATGTCTGATTACCGAAAAAAAGGGCGCCGACAATTTTCTGAGCCTTCGGTGTGTCTGCACAAGGGAATGACGACGTCCGTGAAAGCTCAAACGCGCTTTGTAGATAGGCACATGAACAGAAAACATCCGTGGAAGAGTATAAGTCCTTCTTTTTAGTCCGGTTCTCAAGTTGAAAACCAACAATACTGCAAATTGAAATGTTGTAAGATGCAGACGCACATAAAGGCCGGTCTTGCTTTGATGCAGCACAGGAATGTACAGCACCAAAAAATTTCAGCTTTCAGGTCTGTCTGATTTCCGAGACAGGAAAATATGGATGAGTTAGTAAACCAAACATTAGCCGTGTTTGCATGACGAAGCCCAATCTGCGCTTAAAGGAACCACATAAAGAGCAAACACCCTCATGAAAATGCAACTTCGTGATCAGTTCACTTATCAAATTAAAAGAGTGCCAAAATGTTCTAGCTTGAACTTCCACTTGATCGTATGCAATTTAGAATTTTAAATCCTCAAAACTAAAGTCGAAATTCTTAGATCGCACATAACGAGCAAAATTTTAGCTTCCTAAATAATTTGTGAAACCAACTCCAGCCGGAAAAATTTCTGACATGTCCGCAAGGTCGCAAGAAAGTTGAACTTGGACTCCCTGCATAGCAAAGACAGAAAATGTTCTGGTAAGACTTCAGCCTTCAGTTGTTCAGACTGTTTTCCCACCAAATATTCAACAATTTCGGCTCCATTTAGGCGTTCATTTTGTATGCTTGCTAGGCTACGCACTGAAACGGAAACAGCCTTGTATATTAAAGGTTCCTAGTTTTTCAGGCTGTTTAATTGAAAGTGGGTGACAGAATTCAAACACACAGGCGCCCACATAGTGACAATCTCGCCTCAATGTGGATTGTTTGCATTTCACCAGCGATGCAAAACAAGTAAAATGTTTCTAAAAACAGTAAGAAGATTTAAAGTTATCAAAAATAACAAAAAAAGTACTCTCGCAAGAAAGACAAACTTTTAGATCAGAAATAAAGTGAATTCGTTTTATTTTATTTATAAAACAATTTGCGAACATTTCTTACATACGTCACAGGTTGTTGCTGAACAACGTTGAACAAAAATAATCCGGACATCACTTATGTTGATCAATGTCATGGCTTACAAGATTAAAAAAACGAAAATGCGTCCTTTCGCCTTACTAATAGGCATTGAAGTCATTCAGGTGAGGAGAACTGCTAATAATATGCGTTTTTGCAAAAACTGCATCAAATGTCGCAAATTTCAGCGAGAATAAAAACTTTTCGGAGAACTGCAATATTTGGCTAGGAGAATTCAAAATCCTGCCGTGCAAGCATACGCGAAATCCACTGAAAAGAGTTCGCTACACAGGCGCATATCAAAGCTTATTTTACTCTAAGTGCCCCCATACGGACGAAAAATATTCTCGTAAAGTTAAGTCAATCAACTTAATCTTACTTTCGGGTTGGTATTTTCCCAGTAGTGCTTGAATTTCAACTCTAAATATCCATGACGCGATGTAGGCGTTTGGAAATATTTGATCGCACATAAGCAAAGACATCCACGCGAAGCCCATTTCCTATTCTGTCCAATTCCAGAATAGCCTTCTCGCCAAAAAATTTGCGTGCTTTTCTAAGCGGTCGTACGTTGAACCCGGGCTTACGTAAACACTAATTTGAATTTTTCAGAATGGCACTTGAGCTAGGAACATCTTCAGAAAATACCAGCTCCCTAAATCCGGTTACTGGATTAAAAATGGTTGACAAAAATTGAAACACAAACATTCACACACTGAAAAACTCTCGACAATGTGGGTTTTCGCATTTGCACAAAGATGCAAAAAACCATAACAAATACAAACATTGAGACAAAAATAACTAAACTGCTGCATTTGAGCGAACATGTTACAGAAAAATAAAAAATCGCTGAACCAAAGATAACTTAGTTCCCGTTTTGCGCTACGTATGCTTAACGACGTCTGAATAGAGTTTTAACAGCTAAACGAGTGTATTTAAAGAAATGTAGAAATATTTCGAACAATATATTAATGCAGTCGTTTGAATAAAACATATTAGAAGCAATTTTCGAGTGTAAAAATGGGCCAAAAGCATGTCATGCATTATTCATGCAAAATCCCACCGTATAAAGAATCAGCTGATTCTTAAAAAGATTATACCCATTAGCTACAACAATGGCAAAGGGGAAAAGAACGAAACTTCCGAAACTGACTGGAAGGACGAAGCCAGCGTGCTAAGGCGCATGCCGAAACGAGAGCTATAAAAACGTATGTTTTATGTCAAGGCCAAGTTTACTGGTAATCGAATGAGCTTGGCCTTTGGAAATACTGGAATGAGTCAGGCGAATTCACTTAGGCACTGAATTTCGAGCCATCTAATGCACTGAAGAAAGTAAACTCTGCTAAAGATCATCCGTAGAAACACATATTGGAGCCAACAAGTACAAAAACCAAATCTTTGGTTTTCATGGCAGAATTAAGACCAGAACTATTCGGAATTTTCAGTTGTTCACAGAAAGATTGTACGGTGAGTGGAGTGCAGAGATTCATGTAACCGCCACATGTTTAACACTGTAAATGGGAGTATGAATATATTCTCATTTCGCAGCATTTTCCTATAAAACTGTTCTGCCGTCAACGCGTATAAAACAAAACCCAAAAATACATTATTGTAGCACGACGGATGATTGACGAGGTCGCAAATATGTAATGTGGCAGAACTTCAAAGTAAAAATATTACAGTACTCGGCAGATGCCAAGGCCTACTGCGCCGGAACAACGATAAGATATCAGAACTTATGTTCGCGAATCCTCGAGTTCATGCAGACATATCTACTTGGAATCCCGCCCAACAAGACACAACTATTTTCCTCATGGCCATGTGCTTCTTCCTGCTATAAGCCCAGATATCCTGTATAAATCGAGTTTTTGGGCACAAAACTCAATCTCGACTCCACTCAAACTAAGTGGCGGGGGCACACACACATACATACATACATACAAAGATAATCTCTCGAGAGTTTGTCTGTGTGTGTGTGTGTGTGTTCGGAAGCGAGTGAACTTTGTCACCCACTTTTATCTCAGCAACCAAAAAAGGTGGGAAGCCGAAAATTTGGGTATATATTCCAATCCCGTGTGTCACCCTCCCGTTTTAAAATCTTCTTCCACACGCGCCCAGACCCCGCGTATGGACCCCCGAAAAAATATGCAAATTTTTTTGGCGGAAAACGATTTTGTGAATCATGCAAGCTACAAAGCAGAAATTTTGCAAGAATATTCTCTGTGCGTGTACGAGCTAAAGATTTCAAATTCAACTGCTGTGCCTGCTTGTGCAGCGAGTAAAATCGCGTCAAAGTTTGCAACTTGGTACCGTGTTAACTCGAGAAATTGCCGGAAAACAGTGGCCGAAGTTTTGTCTGCATTTTTATTGCCCATATGGAAAGTCGTGTACATAAAATGAGTACCAATTTGCACTTGCGCCACGACTTAGGGCACTTCAAAGATATTTGTAGTGAATTGGACATTTTGCTTGCGGGACAAGCTGCGGCCCCAAAAATTCCTGGGATATTCTACTTTCAAGTGCGGTCTTAATTTTGCTTGGAAATGAAATTCGCCGAGTTGGTTACGAGAAATATTTGACTTTAATCTGAAAAATCAGAAACGAGTGCATTTCGCAGCGAACGGCCGCCCTCACCTAAATATGTAAATGAACATTCAGTTCACTTGCGTACTTGGATTTTTTGACAGACGACCGCTCTAGCAATACTTCCACTTTCTAGTGAACTGAAAATTTGCATTTTTTCAAAAAAACAAATATTTGCCGGAAAAACGACCGGGCTTCATGCAAAAAACTAGTAATCATGTACCTGGGGGTCCATGCGGCCCTATGGTGCAACACCTTCATCCCAACCGACGCCCTTTCTCCCGCATGCCGGGAGGCCAGAGCGCGCCAATATGAGCCCAAGTGTTAGGCTACAGCGCAGGGATCATTTCTGCTACTGGCAATCTGCAATTTTAATGCAAAAACGCATGATCTCACTGGCTAGGCTAGTGCGCTGCAACCTGGATTCGTTTTTATGCGTTTTTGCTCAGCAATGCTTGAGCGCTGCAACACATTGCGACAACCCTGTATGTGTGTGCGTATTTGTTTGTGTTCGTCTGCCCAGGTTTTTACTCAACAACCACGCAAACTTTGA